AAACTTTGTTAAATGACTTTGCAAAGAATCTTTTAACAAACTTTCCAAAACTTTCCCACAACTGATTTAAGAATGGGTCTATAATTACTGGGACAATTTCTATTACCTCTCTTGAAAAGAGGAGTTACATTAGCTAACTTCCAATCCTCTAGCACCTGCCCACTATTCAAGAACTGACAAAAAATAGTAGTAAGTGGCTCACATATCCAATCTTTAACCTTCAAAACCCTTGGGAAATATCATCTGGCCCAGGAGCCTTATTGTTTTTTAAACTTCCCAATTCTTTCTTAACCAGATCAGAATTAATGCAGTCATCTTGTTTGATCTCGTTTCCATTTATCAACTGATCAAGATGTGGAATACTGCTTAAATCTTCATCAGTAAAAAACGAAGAAAAAGCAAAATTTAATGACCCAACCATCTCATAATCATCAGATACTAACCTTCCTTTATCATCCCTCAAGGGACCTCTCCCCATCGTAACATTTTGTTTACCCTTAACGTATTTAAATAAATCCTTATGGTTAAGTTTTACATTTTCAGCCAAACTTTTTTCATACATTCTTTTTTGATGTCCTAAGTTCCTGTTTCACCAACTTTCTTGATTATCTACAATCTTCTAAATCTCCTGTCATACCAGTCAATTTAAATTTCTTAAATGTATGATACTTTTCTTTAAGTGGAGATATCAGAGAAATAAGCCAAGTTACAAGAAACAATTGGGGCAACCTTGGCCCACGTCTTCTACGATTGTTCCTATTTGTTGCCTAATTTATCTCTTCTAACTTCATATATGCATCTGATATCTCCATTTTATTATTCTTATTATGACTAGGTTCTTTTAAAAACTTGGCATCTTTTCACATTGACATTCAATGAAAATATTTAAATTTATTTAAAGCTTGTAGTGGATGTTTGGAAATGTCTGTAAGCTGTAAATAAATGTAAATATTACAATTTGGTGGGAAAAAACTCATCTTTTTTTCAATTAAAGACAATGTTTTTGTAATACTATCAGATACCTCTTCTCTTACTTAGTAATAGTAACACTACAGTGCTACCTGAACTGTGTGTTAAATGTCACTGATTTTAGCTGTTGCCCGTCAAACCCTAGATTAACCACTGACAGAATATATTTCACATTTAGTTACTACTGCCTTGAAAGAAGCTGAGTTTGGCTTTCTCTCCAAACAAAGTAATGTCGTGCTGCTGGTGAGGTCCATCATTATCCATATAATATTTAGAAACGTGCTTTGTATGAAACCTATAGTGTAGTCTTGTAGTGTAATACATCAAGACACAGTTTTCCTTATATAGTGTGTCAAAGTCATCGCAAGAATAATGCTGAGCATTTTGATGATTAAACAAAGTAGATTCTCTATAGATTCTCTTCATGCATTCCACCCCTAACCACAGCCATTACACAAGTCATCAGGAAGTTAAATATAGAGATCCACACACAAATGTAACTTATCAAACTTTACTCCTTTCAAAGGTAAGGCTTAATAGTGCAGTTGCATCTTTTAAGAGGAAAATAAGTGGGATAACTACAGCCCTATGGGCAATAACAGAAGCTCTTTAGGACTATCTTATAGGTAACAACCAGCTCTATACTTTATACATCTGGCTGTATATGGCCAAACCTATTCCATATAACTTTGAGTGCCCCTTCTCATTATATTATAATGTTTATATTTCAGAATATATTTACAATGTCATGAAAGAAAGGGATCTTGGTATAATGGTTGATCAGTCTCTTAAGCCATTCAAGCAGTTGGCTGTTGCTAGTGGTTGGGCAAATACGATTTTATGTTGTATTTACAGTAATTTTGAATGCAAGTCTAAAGAGGTTATAATTTCATTACATAGATCATCGATTAGGCCACATTTGGAGTACCATGTTTAGCCTCAGGCTTCTAACCTTTAGATGACATTGAAATGTTGGAAAGGTTTCAGAGGAGGGCTACGAGGATTGTATCCACAGTAAGGTAAGGAAAC